TATATATATAAAAATAAGTACATTATGTTTGAGAAGATGAGTCATTCAAAGCAGATTGTACATCAATGTATCACAGTTTAATCATAAAAAAATAGACATTTACGCAAGTAAGCTATCATAAAATGGCCTAGTTCAGCTAAAAACAGGAATGTGTAGTGCATTACAAAAATCTGTGTTAAACAGAAAAAATTTCCTTCAAGCGAATAAGTGGTTAGTGAAGCTAACTTTTTGGTTAGCTGTGCCCACCACTGCTGCTTTATATCTTACAAATAAAGCAAGCAAAGAACAAACATAACACACCTGCTTCTGTTCGTCCTCTTGTAGCCTGAGGTCCTTGGAGTTCTGGCTCAGTCACCTTCAGAGTCAAAAAGGTGAGCTATGACAAACCAAACTCGTATTTTTGTGTCAGAATACGATTTCTGGACTATTAGTGTGTGCTACATGTATTGTTACTTGTTTTTGTCTCTTGCTGTGTGCCATTTCCACAGATGTGGTGACCACATACTACCACTCCTGGGGGTTCCTGTTCGTGTCACAGGGTCGGTGTCGGCCCCTGTTTCTGGAGCTGCTTCTCCTGCTGCAGCCGCTTTCTGTGCTGCCCTTTGACCTTAACTTGGTCCTGGAGCCGCAGCTGTTACGTCACAGGATGCTGTGTTCAGAGGAGTGGGACGCTTTTCCACCTCAGCCATGCTCAGCCCTGCTGGTGAGCAGCTGGCCCACGCTACAAGCTGACAGAAAGGCAGGCAGCAACGGTCCAACCAGTAGTCAGAGTTCAAGCTGCTTTGAGGAACAAGGAGACATCCGTGCATGCAGAAGTCCAATATTAGCTCCTGTTCCAGAGGTTTTGCCAAAAGAACCCAGTTTAATGAAAACTGGGGCAAATTCAATAAACTTCAGGCGGAATCATACGGATACTTGGTTTCAAATCAATGTGGACGGCAGGGAAGATAAGACAAAAAAGGACTGTGGGACCCTAACTTCAGTCACCTCTGTTCAGGCAAAAAGTTCCTGTCAGAGCAGTCTGCGCTGGGCCAAACTGTTCGGAGCAGCTGATCCTTCCACCAGAGCAGGGACAAGTTCTGGAGCACAAACCAGGAGGTAAGAACCAGTGGAGAACAGACGGTAAATAGGCTTATTAAAAAACAATGTATGCTTCTCATTGTAATCCGTATCTTTTCATGGTTTTTATCCCCCCTCAGGCACAGACTACCTTCTCAGTGGCTCCATTTGAACAGATCACAGCTCGGACTGTTGGCCCAATCCATCCGGTCGTTAAAGCTTGGAGGATCTCAGAATCTCACGAGCTGCTAAAAACAAGGAACGAGAGACTCGGGACAATTTATTGGTTTAGTAAAAAAGTCATGCATGAAAACACATAAAAAGAGCTTCACTACAGTACTGAACTGGTAGGAAGGCACAAAAAAATACAAATATTAATGACCACTGGCTCAAATTCATCAAGTTGTATTTTGAACTTGATTTCCAGTCAGATTATCACAAACTTTTATTGTTTGAAGAAGTATCTGTAGCATGTCGACTATGCACCATGAACGTTTTACACCAGAAAACGAGCATATCATCTACAATTACAATCTGAAAGTTAGATGTTTGTCAGTCAACTAAAATTCCTAACAGATTAAGAGAAGTTTTGCAGAAATGGAAAAAACAATAAATATCTTACCTGCTACAGATAGCTTTTTGAATGACCCAGTTAAAAAAAAAACTAACTAAAGCTGCCCAAAGAGTTATCTACAACAGGTAATATGTTTATTGTTCATAATGCTTCCTAGGTGCCCATTTCCAAATATTTCATCTGTTGCTCTCAACTAACAAAAGTCTGAAAAGGTTAGTTTTTAATCTCGTTTTTACCAGCAGGAAAACATGTTTTATAGTTCCTCTTTCAGCTCAGAATTTGCCTAATTTATCACTGATGCATGAACAGTTCTGTCCCTGTAGTCATTTTTCATGATATTTGCTGTGAGACGTGATTTTAAGAGTAAAGCAGATCTTGAACACATTTCCCAGCAACACTTTGATGAACAAGAGCCAAAAAAACAAAACAAACAAACAACTATGTGCTTATGTTGCTCTTGTTTCATGAAGACATATTTGTAATGGAATCAGATATTCTTTTGCTGTAGACTGTTCTTGTGCTGTGAGACAATCCATTCCTCATGATGTCTGTTTTTAATTTTAAAGAACACTCCTAACGATGCCAAATATGCTGTACCACACACACATTTTACATTTTGATGAACTTTTTTGGAGAATACTTACCAGCATGGGTTCACTGTATGTGCATGAGTTGACAGACATACGGCAGACGCTCCTGTTTGTACTTGACCTCTGAACCTTCCTACTGTTGTGCGGTTGCTGTGCGTCTCCTGGCGTCCTTTAGCTGCGCAGATGCAGGCCCTCTGGTGGCCATTTAAGGTGTGACAAGAGGCTTGTTGGAAATGTTAAAGAAGGTGAACAAAAACTTGAAGAAATGCGGAATTTTTAATATTCTGCAGTGAAGTCTGCTGTGCTGTTCTCTCTCTTTAGTTGTTTCATTGAATGCCTGGTGACAATCAGTATCTGTCAATAAAGACTTCCTGAAGGAGCTTTTCCAGTCTGTTTTTCTCCCTTTGTTTTCTGGGATCTCTGCTGTTTGCCATACTCAATCAGCGCCTTGTTGGCGATGGCCGGGTAGCCTTTGCCAAACAGGAAGCGGGAATTTGGCACGTGTCCTGTGAATCCTGTGAAAAGACGTCATGTGGGTTTGTTTTGAAGTGTTCACAGAATCCCTTCATTTTCGCTGCCTGCTTCAGGGTACACCCTGGACGTGAACGGGTCCATCATAGGGACACACAGAGACAAATGAGACAATTCAGGACAATTTAGGACAATTTCGAGTACCTGAGATGAAGTATTTCTGTGGATGCTCATCCTCCATTTGATATGGTTTTCCAGGTGGGATGAAGGGATTTAAGGACTTGTAGGAGGGCAGGGTGCCGGAGATCGCTCTCAGAGGTGGTTCTGGTCTCTGAGCCAAAAGATGACGAGGAATGATGAAGATATAGACAATGTAGATGTAAAATATGTATGTGACCCAACACATCAAAACAAGGATTAAGTCCAAAATTTGAATGTGGAGAAATATATTGTATATATATAGGGTTTTGATTTAAATGTGTGCAAAAACTGCATTTTGTCAAAATACAATGAATTACTGCCTTATCAATGTATCATTTGAATGAACTGTCTGAAATACAGCAGGTAAAATAAGTATTGAACATGTCAGCATTTTTCTCAGTAAATATATTACTAGAGGTGCTAATGACATGAAATTTTCACCAGATGTCGGTAACAACCCAAGTGATCCATACATACAAAGAAATCAAACCATAAATGTCCAGAAATGAAGTTATTTGTAATAATGTGGAATGGCACAGGGAAAAAGTATTGAACACATGAAGAAAGGGAGGTGTAAAAAGGCATGGAAAGCCAAGACACCAGCTGAACTCTCTCAGTAATTAGAAAGCAAGCCTGCCCCTTGTCAGTGCAAGTTAATATCAGCTGGTTCAGTCCCAAATGATGGTCAGGTATCACACAAGAACCATCTGATGATGGGTAAAAGTAAAGAGCTCTCTCAAGACCTTCACAACCTTATTGTTGCAAAGCATAATGATGGCATCGGTTACAGAAGAATGTCTAAACTTCTGAAGGTTCCAGTGAGCACTGTTGGGGCCATAATTCAGAAGTGGAAAGAACATTATTTCACCATAAACCGACCACGACCAGGTGCTCCCCDCAAGATTTCTGACAGAGGAGTGAAAAGAATTATCAGAAGAGTTGTCCAAGAGCCAAGGACCACTTGTGGAGAGCTTCAGAAAGACCTGGAATTAGCAGGTACGATTGTTTCAAAGAAAACAATAAGTAATGCACTGAACCACCATGGCCTGTATGCACGCTCACCACGCAAAACTCCACTGCTGAAGAAACAGCACGTTGAAGCTCCTTTAAAGTTTGCTGCACAACATTTAAACAAGCCTGTGTAATACTGGGAGAATATAGTCTGGTCAGATGAGACCAACATTGAACTGTTTGGATGCCAGAATACACATCATGTTTGGAGGTCAAATGGCACTGCACATCAGCCCAAAAACACCATACCAACAGTGAAGTTTGGAGGTGGGAACATCATGGTGTGGGGCTGTTTTTCAGCATATGGTACTGGCAAACTTCAAATAATTGAAGAAAGGATGAATGGAAAAATGTACAGAGACATTCTTGATAAAGAAACTAAAGCTGCTGGAATGGCCCAGCCAATCACCTGACCTGAATCCAACAGAAAATCTATGGAAAGAACTAAAGATCAGAGTTCATAGAAGAGGTCCACGAAACCTTCAAGATTTGAAGACTGTTTGTGTGGAAGAATGGGCCAAAATCACACCTGAGCAATGCATGCCACTAGTTTCTCCATTCAGGAGGCGTCTTGAAGCTGTCATTGACAACAAAGGCTTTTGTACAAAGTATTAGATAAATTTCAGTAAGTGTGTTCAATACTTTTTCCCTGTGCCATTCCACATTATTACAAATAACTTCATTTCTGGACATTYATGGTTTGATTTCTTTGTATGTATGGATCACTTGGGTTGTTACCAACATCTGGTGAAAACTTCATGTCATTAGCACCTCTAGTAATATATTTACTGAGAAAAATGTTGATGTGTTCAATATTTATTTTACCCGCTGTGTATATCCAAGGTGGGGCTGGCACAAACTGATAGATTCAATCAGTAAAATTTAATATCTAAATATTTGCGCATATTTTATGTTTGATCCATTTATGTGACCGATCCCTGGATTATCCCTGGCCATTTTGTGTTATTGCCTAAAAATATGTTATTTTCGAGTTTTAACTGACACTAGATGATCTTAGTTTAAAGCGTTGGAATGAAAGGCTGTGGGCAAAAAGCATTCCTTTTCTCTAAAGGAATGTTAGACTTTAGCTGGTGTTGCAGAGTCTCTGATGTACTCTGTGACCTTCTGATCACTTCTACTTAATAATTTAGCAGCTCGGACGCACGTCGTTTGGTCTCATGTTCATAGTTGAGCATTTATAAATGTTCACACTCTGCAGTTTTATGTGATGCAGCGAAGTATACCCATGTATCCTGGTATTATCCTGTTCAGGTCTTTGCCACCGATGGGTGGATGAGAAGTGTTGGACTCTGCTGAGAGGACCTGAAGATGATCTGAGTGTGTCTCTATCAGCAACTCGCCCGTGAGCTTTCCATAAGACTTGGCAAAGTGGAACTTTAGCTGTGAGCAATGCCCTGTGTACCTGAAAATTATGATTAAAAAAAAAAAACGATTAAACAAACAGAGAAATCAAGCAGTCACGATGACCCAGTTTCTGTCTTAATGGAAAGTTTTCAGGTGTTTTCAGGTGTTCTATTGTTTTTATGCAGGATTTTGGACAAACAGGTAACCAACAAGTTAGCTGGTATTAATAGAAGAATCCTTTTGTTGAGAAAGAGGAACCTTTCATTGTGTCAGGTCTCCACCTGTAGGCGTTCTGTTTTAAAATGCACACAGAAGGTTTCTGGGAGTTCACCAAACGGCATCTGCATGACTCCCAAACAAAAAAAAAAAAAAAAAAAAAAAAAAAAAAAAAAGGAGTAAAAGCATCTAGTTTGATCTGATCCACACCTCCAAACATGTTTGTGCCAGGAAAGTCTGTACCGAGCTCCAGTCAACAGTGGAACACGGCGGCGGGAGCGTCATTATGTGGAGTTTTGCTGGAACAAGGTATTTAAAATGCTGAAGAAAATGCAGGAACACCTTTAAAAGGAAAGATTCGACGCTGGAGCAGAACCCAGAGAGCAGAAACGGTCCGTGCAGGCTGGTTGAGCTGAACCTGCTGCCAAAAAGAGTGAGTAAGGTGGGACAAGTTTGTTGGATCACTCCCAAAATGACATGAAGCCAGGCTCATGAACAAAACAAACACTAATGCAGTGCTAAAATAATAATAATTATTATAATAATAAATAATTGCGGGTAAAATGTGTTAATAACTATCAGCTATCACCAGTTACAGCCATTAATATGTTTGCTAAGAATTACTGTATTTACCTGTATATATTCATTGATTATGAGATATTTTGCTAACACACACGGTACACAGATGAGGGCAAAAACACATATGTATGGAAGGTCTAAAACTGACTTCTTGTTTACTTGTTACAGAACTTTATCTTGTTTACAGAGTAAATTAAAACCTCATTAATGCTTTTAAAGCCTCGCCGGTCCGCGTCTGTTTACTCACCCCGGGAAGTGGTGAGGATCCGGGATGTCCATGGAGCAGCTGACAGGTCGCTCACCTGAGTTGTTTGTGGTTGTCACGGAAAACAAAACACACGGTGAAGTAGAAATATAATTTTAAATCAGCCACTAAAATCTGTAGGCTGTGACAGCATTTACGGAAGTTGTTGTGTTTTAATTCTCAACTTTTAAAGTTTATTTTGAAAGTAAACAAACATTTCCAATTATGCTTGAAATAAATAGAGAAGAGGACGTGCTCCAACCGGAAATATAAATAATCTGACTCAACGCTGACACCTGGTGGCCATTTCAGGAAGTGCTCGCACAAAATACAAACTGCAAAAACTGAAGCAAGTGGACAGGATATACCGAACAAAAATAGAGATAAAGTGTTGTTGTTTTTTCTACAACCTCTTCAAAATAAATACATTTCAAAAATAGTCTTTGTTATTGCATGTTTTACAAATTACCATTCATTTTACTCTGCAGAAAGTGGTCAACATTTTAACTTTCAACAAATTCTTTATGAATGAACAACCATTAATTATAACTACACATAGAGACAGACACACCTGCAAAAAGTTGCTCGACCTGCTGTCAACCAATCAGATGACTTGTTTCACCTCCATCTCCTTCAGTTGACATGCTGACCTGCCCTGAGGCAGGAGTGAGCTTTTCACTTTAAAACATAACCTCCAGCTTTAGACCCTGTTTGTCAGGAAAGGTGGTATTTTTATTTCATTTTCCACCACTGGTTTAAAATGTTTATCTGTCAGTAACAATCATCAGTAAGTTCCAGTCACTCATCAACTGCCTGCGATAATAAAGCCTGTTTCATCTTCAGACTTTGCTTTCCTTTTTCTCTGACTGTGTTTTCAGGGTTAAGAGGGAATCTGTGAGTCAGATCAGATCCGATGACCCCGAGCTGCTTCTTCACCTGGAGAATGCAGACAGGAGTGTCCGATCGACACATTCCTACAGTTTCAGAAAAATCCTGCTTTGTTTGCTTTGCCGGTGTGATGAAACGGCTCACGCTGTCGCAACTTCGGCTCACGCCACAACAATAATGTAAAACCGCAGAAGAATTTGAACAGATAGCACTTCAGCTGTGTTAAAGGTACTCATTGCAACATCATGACCGGTCCCCAGAAAAATTCATAAAGCCTGAAACAAAATCTGCACACATTTTTTGTTGAATAGATAATTAAAATGTGTCCTTATTCAGAAACTGTACCATGTGCATTTTTTTTTTTACTTACAGAAATCACTGGAAACTGGTCAACAAAGATGTCATTCACGAAAAAGCCATTTGGAAAGAAATGAACAGCATGGATATCTGGTATGCATTTAAACTTAAATTTGTTTAACCAAATGCTTTGTTTACATTGGATGCATGCCTGCATTTCAGAATAGCATATCAACATATCAAGAAAAGAAAATTTCCCCTTTCCATGTTTATTTTAAAGTTTGTAATGAGTACCTTGAAGGTGTGTAGTCAATGGGAAGTAGTTTTGTTTTCATCCTAGCTTGAGGGAAGTAGTATTAGCCGTTGTTTTGTGTGGCATCGGCATACTTTTAGTCTTCTTAGATATGCAAACTACAGTATAGTTTTTTAGCTTTAGATGCAAATTGGAGTGATTTGATATCACTGAGGTGGTGGTTCCTCATTCCCAGTATTTGGTGACAGGTAGACGCAGGTATGAACATGCAGCTGTGATGTAAAGAGGCGTGGTGAAGGAAGAGAGGTGGATCAGAGGGAACCTTTCTTTTTCTTTTTTTTAAACTCCATGTCACATTCTTACCTGAGTAGGGCTTGTTCATTTTCCTGTATTTTGCAGTTCAGCAGAAAAACCTGGACCGTTCCTGGACATGAATCTATACAGGAGCTTTGGAAATCTCATGGAGACATGGGTGAACGAGGACAGATTGTCTCCACAGACGCAGCTGCTTCAGGACACCATGGACTCGCTCGTACCTACCTCCGACATGGGAATCAACCCTCGATCGGAGTCCGTCGACTCCGGAGTGGAGTTAGCCAGCTGTGGCACGCCGTGTCCGGCCTCATCCTCTTCAGCCTCCGCAGAAATGGACTCACTAATGCTACAAAGTGAAGGACTCATACTAGCATCAATGTCCCAGTCTCCTGTTCTCTCCTCTCCCGTGCCGTCCTCCTGCTCTTCCTCTTCGTCCCCGTGCCTGTGTCCCAGCACCGCCGAGGAAGACCCCACTTCTCTGCGCCTAAAGGTCGAACGAGCTCTGCGGAAAGCTGACTCAAAGAACTGGAGAAGCATGGATGAGCCAGTCGTCCGGCAGCCCCGAGCATCTTTCCTGCCCAAACAGCACGCGTCAGAATTAATGAGGTGTTCAAGGTCACAGAGCTTTGACACCAGGAGGAGGTTCGACCCATCCGTGCTCCTGAAACAAATGTTGGACATGAAGCAAAGTTTTATAAGCACAGAAGGGCAAAGCTTGGAGGTAAATCACTTTAAATGGAACGAAACGAAACGTTTTGCATTTTTTGCAGAAAGGATAAAACCCAAATCCCCAAATTTGTTCTCCCCCAACTAGTTTCGGAATTACTACACACTTTTCAGTGAGTCACCGAGCTCATGTACGGTCTTGCACAGCTCGTGCTTTGCAAACGTCGAAGGAACGTCTGGCAGAGTTTTTTACCGAAGGGATTTTGCAACACTTACAAAGTATCTCTTAAAGTCGGAGGCAAACATGTCATTACCCTTGTTCTGTCACGCTCCCGAGTCCATCTTCGGTGGAATGGGTTGGAAACCGGTCCGGCCGGGTGACGAACAGGAGAGGAATGGAGACATGAGCAGGAAGTTGAAAAGTTTGTGGGGATATTGTTTTTTAGATGTAAAAGAACAAAACATGCCACAAAACAGGCAGCAGAGACATTTAGGCCTCATTTATCATTTGACAGGTGGTGACAGGGGCGGCCATCACATACATCTCCCATCATGTGAAAGTCAAGAAGAAAGTTGTCAAATCAAGGCGTTGCAGTGAGAAGGATTAGGTGTTTGCTTTGAAGTAGCTCTTTGTAGTTCAGCCCTGAGGTGTGTGTGCACAAGTAGTCCGTGTATTGTTATGATCGGGGTTAAATAACTGTGAGTAACGCTACACAGAAATGATGAGCTATCATTTCAAAAAGCTCGTGTGAAATTGGAAACAGTGAGCCAAAGTAATCTAAAATTTCTGACAGAACAGGTTTTCATTGTTGTTTAGTGATTTTTTCTCGAACCTAATTAAAGATAACAACTTAAAAAGCTCAGAAAGTTACTTAATCAGAAAAATATCTTTACTTTTATTCCACATCATCTTTTCGAGGCATGAAATCCTTTGGCAAATAAGTTCATTCATTCAGTTTAGGTTGTTGATAACTACTTTTATTTTGAAAGGCAGACCAGACAGACTTTATGTCTTATACCATCATGTCTCATCAATATGCAAGTCTTAAAGGAATGTTTTTGATGTTTTTATTTATTTAATGTAAAGTCAGCTTCCCCTTGAAGGTATTTTCTAATTTTTGGATTGCATCTTTCTTCACTTCACCTGTTTTTTTTCCCCTCGATCTTTGCAGGGATCTGATGTGAATGAAGAGAAGAAACTGAGTCCTGGGTTCTTCTATTTGGAACAGGTGTGTCAAAGGCTGGAAAATTTAGCCAGAGAGCAGATGCGCAGCCAAGGGTTACTGATGGAGACCGACGCTCTCTGGGAACATGAAGAAGCAGAGGTGAGACCGCCTCAGAAAGAATTCTGGTGTTTTGACACATTTGACTACAGTTAATATCCATGGCATGCATCAGTCAAGTTGGCGATGCCTTCGTGCAGATTCATCATTCATTGTCCTTTTGATCGCGTGATGTTCTTAAAGGCTCCTGAAAGTTGTCAGACTGACTCGACAGCTGCTGAGGAGGACCAGTCATCAAGTCAGCTGGTTGAAAGGGCAGAGCAGGTTTCCAGCCAGCCTCAGCAGCAAAAATCCAGACACTTTCGGCAGAGATCAGCCTCAGACACAATGTTTGCAGCTCTGCATTTAAGTAAGTCATTTCCCCCAACTTTTTTTTTTTACTAAATACCCTCTACCCATCTATCTTCTTTACCCACTTTTTCCTTTCTGGGTCATGAGGGGGCTGGAGCGTATCTCCAACATCCACTGTGCGAGAGGAGTACACCTGGGTCCGGTCACAGGAACACAAGATAAACAACCATTCACATTTTTACTCACACATAGATACAATTTTAAAGTTACCACTGAACCAAACATCCATGTTTTTGGTCTGAGAAAACCTGAGTGTCTTGGGAAAACCTATACATGCAGGGAGGCGACCTTCAACTCTAACCACTGCCAAACCCTGACCTAAACCTTCCTTCACATATTTTTAAATTAACATTTGGATATGCTTGTTTATGTTTTGGGAAAACATTGGTGGTTTGACCGTTCTGCGTGTGTTTGATGCAGAAAAGTTAAACGCCAACCACAGAGGGCAGCTGCTGAGTACAAATGACCTCCTAGAAAGAGTAGAAGATGAGGAGACAGTACAGGAGGTAGGTGGATGAACATCCTGCTCAGTGTGGAGTTAAGAGGACATATCATGCAAAATCCACTGTTTTACCCATTAAATGCATTTTGTTGTGTTGACATCTTTTAACTAATTTGCAAATTAAAGGTTGCTGTGCAGGTATGTAGTCGTAAACCCCTCTCTCAAACTAAAATAGATTGTTATGGAAGCTGAAAGACGGGCTTGTGGAGTTACAATAAGGAGGACCAAAGCATTGCTGTTCCACTTTATATAGACACCAACCAAATGACTCAAGTGAGGGACAAAAATGGATTTAAAAGCATGATATGTCCTTTGAAATAAAACAATAATAGCGTCATGTCAGTATGAGTTAGAAGATGAAATATTTGTATCTTTTCAGGAGACAAAGGAGAGATCAAATAAGGCTTTTAGGAACTGGAGGGCAAAACTGCCTTTGAGAAGAACGGAGTCTGCCGCCTCGGACACAAAGAGGTGAGAGATAGTATTTATAACTCTGAAACCTCCGAGGAGTCAGTTATATTAATACGATGCTCTGAGGAAATGCTGCTCCAGCGTGGCCGTCAGCCACAGTGGAGGCAGTGACCCAGAACTGTTGCTCAGTGGTAACTACTGCTGAGAGCTCATTTCAGGCTCTGCATCTGCGCCACATGACCCCCCCCCCCTTTTTTAATCTCCATATAATGTTGCTTGCATAGCGTCTCTAGTTGTCCAACATCACCTCTCTCTCTCTGATGTATTGTTTTTTCTATAAAGCCAACAGATGCAGTTCTCTGAGAGGACTTCAGCACGTCGACGGTTGAGCAAACTGTTCAGACGAAATAAAGGAAATAAAGAACATCTCGTGTGAAAGGACCTGTTTCTGGGTTTTTAAAGGGGAACCGTGCTAACACTAGACTTCCTCTTGTCTCATAATTCTGTGGTCTACTCTGTTCATTTATTATTTACTCATAAATGGAATCTATTTTTGTATATATAGATGTAACATATAACTGGAAGCTGAATGCATTGACCTGTTTTTGTCACACAGAATTCAAGAGTGAAGACCTCAATAGAGTCCTTTTTGTACAGTTTTTTTTGAAGTTGTATATTTGTATCATGTTCTACACCGTAAATGTCAAATTATAGAAATATCTTAGTTTATTTTATCAGTGTTGGGAAAATTCTGCATCAGAACGAATATTATGCTTTAAATTCTGCTCTGTGTTTGAGAGACCAATTCAATTAAAGAAATGTTTCTTAATGAGTCCCCTTGGTGCCACCCCATCTCTTTGCAGGGTTACTTTACCTTTTTCCTCTTCTACATTTTAATTGCTTCTGTGTTTCAGAGGTCAACTGTTTTCTTAAGATTTGGCTCAAATCAGACATCTTAAAATGTGCTTTAAACTGCCAATATGTGCAAGATGAATTACACTAAATGGGTAAAACCTTAGATAACAACAAATTAACTTCTCAAGATTTTCAGTGGAGGAAATGCAGCTACAACTGATGCATTCCCTGCAGAACTTCCACAAAGATAAGGCAGCAACTGAAACATTTACCACAATATGCAGAGCAGCTGTAATATTTCACAAGTCCTTATCTCCAGACGGAGACTGAAAAAAATAAATGTGAAATTGCATTCTGGGTTAGAAAAGTAATGAATACACAAGTACAGCCAGGTTGGAATCTGGTCTCTCCAGTTGCAAACTAGTTTGCACTTAATGAAAAATTTATGTTGTGTGGCACAGAAAAGCTGCTTTGCTTTCACTATGTATAAAGTCAGATCAGAACAAGAGTGAACAAAATAAAACTGGGTTATTTCTGAAAATGCGAGTACACTTCTTTTTTTACCTAAAATACTTGGCATTTCAGTGTGAAGCAGAAATACTGGCTTATACTTTAAAAAATCTACTTTAAAGGAGGGTGTTATGCAAAATCGACTTTTTGGAGCTTCGTGTCATATAATGTTCTTCCCACATCGAAAACATACCCAGTGTTGCTTTGACTCATTCATGCTTGTTTGAGAAATCCTTGAATCTCCTGTCGTAGCCATGTGGAGCCGCCCTGAACGCCTGTTGGTATAAAGCATCGCCTGGTTACCCAAAGCTCCTCCTGGTAGTCTGCAGCCAAGCTCCCACCACACAGTGCTTCTGTGAAGTCATATTTTTTTTATACAGTGGTTTGCAAAAGTATTCATACCCCTTGAACTTTTCCATATTTTGTCACATTACAACCACAAACATAAATATATTTCACTGGAATTTAATGTGAAAGACCAACACAAAGTGGTATACAATTGTGAAGTGGAAGCAAAATTTTACATGAATCAAAACATTTTTTACAAATAAAAAACTGAAAAGTGCGATGTGCAAAATTATTCAGCCCCCCTGAGTCAATACTTTGTGGAGCCACCTTTTGCTGCAATTACAGCTGCAAGTCTTTTAGGGTATGTCTCCACCAGCTTTGCACATCTAGTGACTGCAATTCTTGCCCATTCCTCCTTGCAAAACAGCTCAAGCTCAGTCAGATTGGATGGAGAGCATTTGTGAACAGCAGTTTTGAGATCTTGCCACAAATTCTCAATTGGGTTTAGGTCTGGACTTTGACTGGGCCATTCTAACACATGAATATTCTTTTTTTTAAACAACTCCATTGTAGCTTTGGCTTTATGTTTAGGGTCGTTGTCCTGCTGGAAGGTGAACCTCCGCCCCAGTCTCAAATCTTTTGCTGACTCCAACAGGTTTTCTTCCAAGATTGCCCTGTATTTGGCTCCATCCATCTTTCCATCAACTTTGACCAACTTCCCGGTCCCTGCTGAAGAGAAGCACCCCCAGAGCGTGATGCTGCCACCACCATATTTGACAGTGGGGATGGTGTTTTCAGAGTGATGTGCAGTGTTCTTTCTCCGCCACACATAGCGTTTTGCATTGTGGCCAAAAAGTTCAATTTTGGTCTCGTCTGACCAAAGCACCTTCTTCCACATGTTTGCTGTGTCCTCAACATGGCTTCTGGCAAACTGCAAACGGGACTTCTTATGGTTTTCTTTTAACAATGGCTTTCTCCTTGCCACTCTTCCATAAAGACCACATTTGTGTAGTGCACGACTAATTGTTGTCCTGTGGACAGTTTCCCCCACCTGAGCTGTGGCTCTCTGCATTTCATCCAGAGTCACCATGGGCCTCTTGGCTGCCTCTCTGATCAGTGATCTCCTTGTTCGGCCTGTAAGTTTAGGTGGACGGCCTTGTCTTGGCAGGTTTACTGTGGTGCCATACTCTTTCCATTTCCGGATGATGGATTGAACAGTGCTCCGTGAGATGTTCAAAGCTTGGGAAATCTTTTTATAACCTAAGCCTGCTTTAAACTTCTCCAAAACCATATTCCTAACCTGTCTGGTGTGTTCTTTGGACTTCATGATGCTGTTTGCTCCCCAATATTCTCTTAACCAACATCTGAGGCCGTCACAGAGCAGCTGTATTTGTACTGAGATTAGATTACACACAGGTGGACCCTTTTGAGTCATTAGCAGTCATCAGGCAACTTCTGAATGCAATTGGTTGCACTCAGGGAAAAGGGGGCTGAATACTTTTGCACGTCGCACTTTTCAGTTTTTTATTTGTAAAAAATGTTTTGATTCATGTAAAATTTTGCTTCCACTTCACAATTGTATACCACTTTGTGTTGGTCTTTCACATTAAATTCCAGTGAAATATATTTATGTTTGTGGTTGTAATGTGACAAAATATGGAAAAGTTCAAGGGGTATGAATACTTTTGCAAACCACTGTATATAAAGCATTTTCACAACTGAAAGTATGAAGCGACATTGAAAGGAAGAAGCGTGTACAGAAAATGGATGGATGCAAGTAACATAGTTACTTGATCGCAGTGGTGGGCAGCACTAATCTAAATATTAGTTGCACTAACCCTAAAGCACTAACTGAAATATTTAGGTCCCCTAATTCTAAAGGACTAACACACTGAAAAATATAGCAAAAACTAATTCTAAAGCACTAATATAACCCAGGTGACACATGAAACATTCTTCAGAGTCAATATTATCTTATTTACTGTGTGCAGAATGTTGTCACTTAGTGCCCTTGGCGGGCCAAATGGGAGTCACCCACAGGCTACATTTGGCCCACGGGCCTTGAGTTTGACACGTGACCTAGTGGATAAGTGACACGCATGTGAACAAAATGTATGACAGCTTTCACCCTTAACTGTGAACAATAATGTTAATCAATAACATTTAAAGACCTTAGTTAGTGCTTCTAAATTTAGCAAGTGCTAATCCACTGATGAATTTTAAAAATAGCAGAAGCCCTAAAGCACTAATCAAGAAATTAGTTCCCCCTATTAGAGCTTTAGTGCTTTAGGGGAACTGTGCCCACCACTGCTTGATCGTATAGAATTGAACTATATTGGAAAATACACCCCCTCCCCCCTTTAAGTAAAACAGAAAAGTATCTCTGCATTATAATGGCTTTTAACGCTAAAAGAGAGTCCACACAGAGGTATCATTTATGTAATCTTTATTCACCTAGGTTGGGGGGGAGAAACCTCCCCTGGCATTCCCATGTAAAGAGATGTCATGACAAACACATCCAACCAAACAAGAGACGGTGAATAGGTTTCCAGTCCATACATAAAATACATTTATTTACTTTATACTGAACCATCAGCATTCATTAGTCCCACACAGCATCCATCTGTGCTATTAAATATAGAGAAACATCTATAGGGGGTTATTTACTGTGAGAGAAAGGAGCTTGGCAAAATGGGTTTAGCTTATAGATGAGAAGAGTTGTGGTGGTGGGGAGCAATACTCGCACCTCCTCCCTCTTGTCTACATGATGCCACAGGAGGACAACGGGTTGGCAATCTGGCAGGTGCAGGCTGACTGGCAGTATTGACGCACAGTCTGGTAGCAGCTGCGGTCGGCATCCCCGCCCCACTGCACAGGCCCGTTGGGGTCTGAGGGCAAGCGGCTCAGAATGCTGGTGTTGATGGCCAGAGCAGCCAGGCCATAGTCAGTGAACAGCACCGTCTCACGCCGGCACGTGGGGCAGGAGATGAACTTGTACTTGGGACAGGACTCGTAGAGGATCTGCAGGCACTCCTCGCATACCGAGTGCAGGCAGGAGAGGATGCGTGGACGCTTCCCGGTGAAGTTGTACGTGTGACCACAGGTGGGGCATTCTAGGGGCTCGCACGGCATGACAGGCCCAGAGGACGAGGAGGACGTGGAGGAGGAGGTGGAGGAGGAGCGCAACACATACTGATTGACTATGACGTCTTCCATCTTGTAGTGGAACTGGTGGTAGCAGATTTCATTGGCACTGGGTTTGCGCTGAGCCAGGAAGCTCTGCTCCCTGCATATCAGCGGGGCCGGCGGGGACACCATTGGCCTGGGAGACGATGCTATGTCCAGTGTAAGGTCACTGCAGGCCTGGTTGACAATGATTTCACCTTCACCGCCACCGTCCCACGCCACTCTGGGAGCCGGGGCATAGCGTGGCTGGGTGACGGGCACAGGGCACTCTCGGGGAAACTTCTCCGACTGGATGATCTTGACAGTGTCCATGGGGATGGCCATCGGCTGGCGCCTGAGGCAGGACATCCGCTCGGTTTAGTTGTTTCTAGAGTGAGGGTCTGTAGCTCTGGTCAGTGCCGGATACCCCTGCTTGGTTCTTTGCAAGGGGAAGATCAAACACCTTCTTTGAAATCAACCATTAGATGGAACATGGGGTCGAATGGTTGCTTCCATGTTTCCTTCAAAGATTTCCTCTGGTTGGCACTGTTATTGGTCTTTTATAGTCTGTAACACTTGAATTTTAGAGTCAATATCCCCGTTTACAGTATCTGATCAGTGTTTGCTATGTAAAGTATTTCTGATGTTTTAATGTACCTTTAATGAAGTTCCTGTGCTGCCTCTGTTTGATATCTACAAAGCAGACAGAAATAATACTGAAGAACTAAGATACGTTCTTACTCACTTTGACTGGTATAAGTTTCATGTGCACCTAGATGTGTATTCACAAACAGTACAGGTAAGTGGATTGTTACAATTCCAAAGTGTGTTGGGGTTGATTACAGGCAGTTCAGAATGGTCCAAAAAGCACTATCTGATACTAGAACCTGTTTCCTGGTAAAAGGAACTCGGTATTTCTCAATAAAACACTCGCAGAGCTTCCTGTTTGTGGCCGCAGATGTGTTGTATCTTGACTTAAAAGTGTGAGAAAAAAAACCCCCAAACATTCAGTCGTTCTGTTTGCTCTTGGTCCAGTGTGGTCAGTAGACCTTGTTTGACCCCCTTTCCTTGGCTGCTTGATAAAAAAGGGAGGTCTTTTATTTTTTGGAGGTGTCCTATAATACTGCAGGGAGCTGTTGGAGTAACTCAAACTTGAAGGCTCCTTAAATTCCTCAGAGGTGGGAGTGAAGAGTCTTGTTTTGTAAACTTTCAGGCAGTCCTTACAAGTGAACAGGAAGAGTAATGAGGGTGTAAAGGATTCCTTGGTGTTGTGACTTTTCCTCTTCCTTCAGTTTGTCAGACCAACAGTATTTGAAGATGTCTTTGGTCCGTTTATCTGTAAAAAAAGAAAAACAAAAGATAAAAATATCACGTTAGTAATGTAAAATGATGAGTAGAAACAGGGCCCAAATGAAGTCTCATAGAGGCAGTAAGTACAGACAAAACTTAATGATGTCACTAAGCCAAACAAACAACCCGCAAGATACATTAGATTAAAAGAGAAGCTATGAGGAAAATCAGGAAGTATAAATATGATTTGGGAGAAGTGATGAGTCATCACAAATGTGTCGACTACTAATGGTGTAAGTATGGAGCTGAAATAAGGATGATGGAGGGCATCCAGTAGCAATAACTTCACAACAAACACAACTAAAAAATGGAAATACCAACACACTCCAGCTCCTCCTGTGGTACCCCATGGCATTCCCAGGACAGAGAGGATATATAATCCATCCTGTGAGTTCTGGGTCTGCCCCAAGCCATATTCAGAGAACCTCCAAATGGAGGAATTAGATGACTGACTCCTTTCACTGCAAAAGAGCAGTGGCTCTACTCCAAGCTCCCCCCCACATGATGGAGCTCCTCACCTTATCTCTAATGAACCCAGCCACCCAAGCAGGGAAGCTCATTTTGGCCGCTTGTATCCGGATCTAGTTCTTTTGGTAAATACCTCATGTCCACATGTGAGGGTTGGAATGCAGACAGATCAGTAAATCAAGAGCTTTGCCTTCGACCCTCTTCACCGCGACTGACCAATTCATTGCCCTTATTATTGAGGATGAGGCCATAATTTGTTGATCTCTGTCCATCCTAAATACTAACAAGAGACCCAGATACCCACAACTGAGGTGTCAATTTATCACTGAGGCTACAATGAAAACACATTTAGGGGTGCTTTTATGAATTATACTTGTACCTGAAACTAACTGTCTTAACGCACACACACACACACACACACACACACACACACACACACACACACACACAC